CTCTCTGGGATTCTCCGTCTTCAGCAGATGGCCTTGCCTCTGTGACTGGTTCCTTATATAAGTAACAAAAATGTGGACCGAGATGATCTTGGACAACCTCACATATCTATTTAACATGAAGCTCAAAGGCCAGAGGTCTCCTAAGTAACTGTGGTTTCACAAAATGCCACATTTGAAAGCTGTGCACTTTTCTGGTTAATGACTGGGGAAATAATGATCCAGGCCAGCATGAGAAGGGCCTGCATGCTATCAGGAACCTATTCCCTGATAACATCATCACGGAGAGACATTCAGATCTGATACTTTTTATAAGTTATAAGGAAATAATGTTGAGGGCAAACTTCTCTCTCTCTCTCTTTTTTTTTTGGCAAAGCTGTTAAGAAAATTTCATTATGTTCCCACAATAGCATAAATATATATCTTATCTCTTGAATAAAGCCCAGACAATAAAAGGGCGCCCGAGACTGGAAATATGTCTTATGAGAAAGACCAAATCAGTCATATGTGATAACACCAAGGGGGGAATGAAAGTGTGAACAGAAATGACCATAGCACAAAAAGTCACACAGGCTCGAGATGACGGCACTGGGGCTCTGAGCTCCACCCGTGGGCTCTCGCTTTGTCACCCAGCCAAGTTCCTTCAGGCCTTAGGATCTTCAGTTCTTGATATGTAAAATGGGAATCATATTTCATGGGAGTGCTGGGGAAAGCCCAGTAACTAGAAAACACTTTCAAATATAATACATATTGCCGACATCAGGTAAAGGTACCATTTTACTTCCTAGTGCTGGGAATTAGGTTTTTGTTTTCCTGTTTATTTTCATACACATTCAATTGCCTACAAGTGTGTTCTCCCTTAAAAAATCCCCATTTTTCTTCTGGTTAAATGATTCATCAAGAATCTTGGCCCAAACACAGTGCTGTTTCAGGGAAAATAGACTCTAGGGAATCATAGGGAACATAATTATGACCATTCAACTAACCTCGTTATAAGGCAATGCGGCGTATGTGAATTCTCCATGGAACAGATGAGTAAGAGGGCTTAAATTTCACAAGTTGAGCCTGTCTTGGTGACTTCAGACATACACCCTGTTCTATGCCAGCAACCTGAGCAGCCAGGAGGGCGAGCTGGCTGGATGCTAACAGGACACCCAGAGCTGAGGTTAGGCAGAATTCTTATAAATAAAAATCATTATGTTTAATTTAAATGCTCATAAACATTTGGTGGCTGCTTTTAAGATACAATGTAGGGATGAAAAGCTTGTAGATGGATTATAGTGCTAGGAAGTTGAAGTTCCTAGGAAAAAATACTATTTTCCTAGTGTCCACCTTTCTCTCTGGCAAAAAAAAAAAAGAAAAAGAAAAAAGAGAAAACTCTCAGGTTTCTAAGGGTAAAATAACTAAAACCAGAACTCCTTTTATCCATCCTGTGACTTTGCTATGTCTGCAAATATGAAGTTTGCAAAATACAGGAATAATATGTGAGTACTACAAAAAGAACAACCACGGGCTTTTCATTTTGGATGGTAGCACAGAATTCTGAAAGTGGATACAGTATGCTATATTTAAGACTTTCACTATTTTATCAAATTGTTCTTAAGACTTCCACATAACTACCTTACACAGCAAAGAAAATGTTTAATTTGTTAAGTTTTGAACACTGCCTTTCAAAGTAACTATTCTCTTAAATTTGTGATTTGAAATGGTTTGACAGTTCCAAATTTTAATCTCACAGCATTTTGAGAATAAAATATTCTTTAGAGAAATGTTTACAATGGCAGTTAGTGGGAGAAAAAAATCTTCAAAAGACAAAATGTTCCTCTGTCAGAGTGTCAGGAATGACTGCACAACGCACTCACGGATGTTGTTATTTGGGCACTCTCGACAATGCCTACTCCACACATATGATATTTGTACTCTCCTGGGTTATCTCTTTTGACCATCCTGTGAGGTAAGCAGGGCAGAAATTATTACTCTGTTTTACAGATGAAGTAAACAAGGCCCAGAGAGAATAGGTGATTGTCTTCTGCTCAGAGAACAGATGAATGGCAGAGCCTGGACAAGACAGGAAACACAGTACTCCGTGCTTTGTGGTTTGTAGGTCTATGCACATATATGTATGGACATAAAAATGAAATCTCTTTTATTTGATTAGAGCTGTAGCTATTGGATTGCAATTCAATTCAGAAAGTGGGAAATACAAATTAATAAATATTGGGTTGTCAGAAAAATTGTAACACATTTTTGCATTGAAAAACATAGAAAAATACTTTTCTGACAACTAAATATTTGAAGAATACAATCTCACATCTCAGAGACCAGACTGGTGGAGGACCCAGTGCGTTAGGGGCTGGTGGCTAGACAGCCAGGGAGACTCTTCTTGCATGGGAGAGGATTGCCACACACACAATACCCGGATGTTGCCAAGGGCACACACAGATGGTGTAATCAATGACAAATCAGAAACAGGACATGAATTGTGGGAGGGGAAAGAAACAAAAACTGGGGTCTACAAGCCATGTCCTGGAACACAAACAGTTATGAAGGGTCTTGTGAAAATTAAGCTTTAAGGTTAACTGGTTAACATTCACCTCCTCAGACAACTGAATCAACTGTGACTTACACACAAGAACGCACAAGTCACAGGAGGGGCAGTCAGTTACCCAGTCTGGAAATGAAGAGTACAGACCCAGACTTGGGCTTTGCACAGCACACAATTTCTCAACTTTGAAGAGATTAGCTATTGGTATGGACTGTTGATATCAATCATGTGCACAGTTCTGTTAGCTAAACAAGACATTTTTTAAAAGTACAATTCTTATTCGCAGTCGGTGTCATTTTGATACATACACTTTTCAAAAAAAACAAAACAAGAATCTCTATGTCAGGACATAGGATGTTTTGAAGGATATATTCTTGGCATTTAGAAAAGAGTAAACAGCCTCTCGGTTTTTGGACTATAGCTAAAACCACTGCACGCACGTGTGTGTGTTTTAAGTTAGTTTCTATGCCAAAGATAAATTACTCTGTATCAAATAGTAAAAATTACTTTTGATTGCCATTCTTTAAGAATGTATCAAAGGATGACCATGACTCATTTGAAAGATATTAATAAAATGTATGTAGTTATATATAAATGTACCTTGGGCAAGCATGTTATCTACTTATCTAATACAGGATTAATGTCTAGCAAAGGGTGAGAAAAGCCAGATGTTTTAGATTTAGAGAGAGGGGAAGTGGATCAAAAAAGAAACATAAGAGGAGAGGGAAAGCATGGTGAGAAAGAGAGAACAAGTGAGAAAGAGAATTGCTTTGAAGAAGCTAGGTAAAGATCTTGGTCAAAGGTGATGAAATTGAATTCACTGATACAGACTGAACTGTGTCCCCTCAAAATTTATAAGTCTATGTCCTAACCTTCAATATCTTACAATGTGATTATATTTGGAGATGAAGAAGTTGAAGAAGTCATTATGTTAAAATGAGGTCATTAGAGTGGGCCCTAATAAAATATGACTGGTGTCCTTATAAGATGAAGTTTGTACACACAGAGACACTAGGACGTACATGCACAGAAAAACCCATGTGAGGACACATGGAGAAAGTAGTTATCTAGAAACCAATGAGAAAGGTCTCACAAGAAACCAATCCTGCTAACACATTAATCCTGGACTTCCAGACTCCAGAACTGTGAAAAAATAAGTCTATTGTTTAAGCCATCTAGCTGGTTCTGTGTTATGAAAGCCCTAGCAAAGTAACAGATTTATGAAAACCCAGTGGATGAGGAAGGAAAATTTATCTCCTAAATTCATCCTGTCTTGTGTAACCCCTTCACAAGACAGGTAAATTCTAGCATAAATGCTGCTGTCCTTTTCGCCATACCCACTCATCATGGCCATCCTTGCTCACTGTGGAACTGGCTTCACAATCTTTCTTAATATACCTCTTCTAACAGCATCTGCAAATCTCCCAGAGTCAGCACAAAAGAGGAAGTCTCACTATAACATGGGACTAGAGCCTCTTAAAGTTAATGCTTATCTTGTACCACTTTTTCCTCTGCAGAATCTCTTTTGTGCAGTGTTTGGCATAGCTGCACACTGAGTCAGTGCCTAAACTGTTCATCACATTCACACAATGCTTATTCTTTGAGCGCACGAACAAAACAAGTTGTCAGGTGCTATGCCCAAGAGAGGGCAGTGGCAGAGACACAGGACTTAAGAGCTTAAGTCCTAACAGTCAGATGCTGCCCAGGATCCCTGAAAGCAGAACAGGAAAAGCGGTCAGAGACCTTCTAAGAATAAAGGGTGGATAGACCTGTGCCCACAACTGAAGGTTTGGGGAAGCTTTGGGTGGGCTGGGATTTTCACTCAAGCTAGTGAGGTAAGGTAGGTGAACTTTAAAGATTTCCTTTTTCCTAAAACCAGCAGATGGCATAATGGTTACATCACTGGACTTCCATGTAGTTGACCACGATTTGAGTCCTGGACCTGGTGGCTTCAAACTCACTGGGCACTTGTGCATGCGTGACCAAAATCCTGAGAGGAGAATGGAGGAGAATAGATTGCAGCATGGCCATCTCCCGTAGGGGGTGCTTTTTTGCTTTCTGTCTCTCTGTCTCTGTCTCTCTGGAGAGCACATGCACCCTATAGAAAAAAATCTCTCTAAAAAAAGAGAAAAGGATTTCCTTTTCCCTTGTGAGCTATACTTCCACTGACTGCAAAGAACAGGAGTATCTAAGGAGAATACATTACTCTGTTAAGGCAGATCCCTGAGAGGTTGAGACATCAAACCAAAGGCCCTTTAGGCTACATGAAAGGGGCACAGGCTGTGCCCAGGCCCCTTTCTGCCTCTCTCTCAAAACCTATCCCTGTAGCTAAGACCATAAAACAGTAATTCTAAAGTAAATTTCTGACAGCTACTGAGACTAGCAAGAAACTTCTCTATTTTTTCCCATGTGTTCCCTCTGTAGGATCCCTTCATCCCTTCCACACCTAAATTCCTACCTAAGATCCATTTTTCTGACAGATACTTGATTGTTGAATCCTTCTTTCCACTGTATGGCCCAACGAAGATGCTGGCCTGGCGAGGGGTTCCACTGACCCGGCCTCCGCACAGCTGGACCAGTTCACACAGCTTGGCCCTGGGGGGGCTGCTGGCTGGTGTGATGAACATCATTGGCTGATTGGCGAAGAGAGTTCCCTGGTACTGTTCTGCAGACAACTGGCGCTCAAGTCGGCAGATCTGTGGGCAGAGGAAAGGGAGAATTACAAAGGCATGGAATCATTTCATTTTTTATTTAGAGGGAGCTAACTGTGAAGCTCACTTCCAGTTTTAGGAAGAGAATAAACTGAATATAAAGTTGCACGTTCTTGCATGAAATATGAATTGAGCATTTAGAGAAGATAATAATGTGAAACTGATGTTTTCGAAAGCAGCTATGAGTAGAACTATAAGAAAATGAATTTATAGACAAAAATAATAAAAATAAAAATTGTGCAGGTCTTTATTATAAATTCTAAAGCCAAAACTGAAAGGCAATCAACTATTCAAAAGTGACAACTGCATCCGTAAATCCCTTTTAAATGACATGAATGATGGGTGTAAAAGAAGACAAGATCCTAATAGTATGCAAATACCAACCACATTTGAATAGTGACATTCAATCCAACGTGCTCCAGGGTTCTTGGCAGCAAATGACTTTTTTAAAAAAATTAAATTGTCAGCAAGAGTATGCACTCACCAAAAAGTGACAGAAAAATAGAGAGGGGGAAAAAATCCCCCTATGAGGTAAGGTTATACTGTAATCTCCTCCATTTCTCCATCCTTTTGGGATTTGTGACACACATGCACTTGTACTCAATATATTTTTCAAGCAACTGATGCTGGGATTCATACTACAGTTGGCCATGTGGAATCTGGCTCCCTTTACCATTAGCCTATGGGGCAGCCTGCAAATGTCTTCTATAAATTCTGTACCAAGTTTAGAAGGTTAAAGGGGGAATGAGGCAATACAGACACAGAGTTCTTACAGCCATTCCCTAAAATACTAGGTTGAAAAAGAAATGGCAAGACGTTATTTCAGTGAGCTATTATTAAAATGGCTATGAAGAATGTCATAGACAGTGGGAAATTCAGAAACAAAGATGTGAAGTTCTGGTCCCTTTTATTCTGATAAAGTTATGGTTGTCTGGTTAACCCAAAGGACAATAGGAAAGTTCAGTTATTATGAACATACATTTTACTAACTACAAATTGATAAGGATTTCTTTTTAAGTATACATACAGTCTGGGAGCTGTTGAGGGTTTTCTGTCATCCACACTGTTTTGAGTATTTTAACCTGCCATTTTAAATATTTCAGATCAATGGCTCAGAGAAAGGAAGGGTTCTGATGGGAGGTACAGGATTGGACATTCAAGATAGAATGAGAAGGCGAATTCACCACGAAGTCTACTAGGACTGGGTAGGGAGTTGTCAAACAGATTCTTAACCAACAGATGAAGGTTGGTTAAGAGAGCCCAGGAAAACCAAAAGGGCAATCACAGTAGATTCAACGAAGGGTAGATTCTAGTGTTGGAAGAGCACAGGAAGATAAAGATCCAGGTTAGTGTGGTTGTAGAAGGAATGGATGGTGAATATACAGTGAACTTCAAAAGACAAAAACCAGCACTGCTAGACTGCATGGAGGAGGAAGGAAGAAAGAGGCTTCAGAATAATTTCACAGCCAGGGTGACTGAAGTGTAGTGATCCTGCTGAGAAGTGGGCTGACTGGGAAGGAGAGCTGGTTTGGCAGGTGAAAGAAAGTAGGCTTTAGATACAAGAATCTGACAGAATAGCTGGTCACTAAATTAGGCAGCATGAGGTTGTGATACTGTGATATGACAAGAAATAGCTCTGCCCCTTGATTCTGGCACTGAGTTCCTAAAACTCTTGGGTTCTCTAAGTGAAGGGGACTAGAGAGATATCTTTTGTTGTTCATAATATGTACCTCTCAACCATACCTGAGTTTGTATTAATGAGGTGACTGCTGGAGGTTCATTGCCAGAGGAACCAACCAGGTCATTAGATGGTTGAAACTTTCAGATCCACCACCGAAGTTCAGTCCTCAACAGCCAATGATGTAATCAATCCTGCCTACATAATGAGGCTCCATAAAAATTCTATCTAAGGGGTTCACAGATCTTCTATGCTGGTGAACACTAACATGCAGGGAGGGTGGTGTACCCAGAAAATAACAGAAGCTCTATGTATCTTCCATGCCCACACCTTGCCCCATTCATCTCTGCATCTGACTGTTCATTTGTAGCCTTTAAAAATATCCTTTTAACTAAAAAATTTATAAATGTAAGCAAAGTATTACTCTGAGTTCTGGAGCTGTACTAACACATTATTGCATCTAAGAAAGGGGTTCTGGTCACCTTTGATTTATGGCTGGTCCGCTGGAAGTCAGAAGATCAGGATGTATGATGAGTGTCTCTCGTAGAAGTCCTTTGGGACTGAGCTCTTACCCTGTGAGATCTGCTTCTAACTCCAGGTAGAAAATGTAGGACACCTATCTACTGTATACAGACAACAGAATTGTTCAGTATGGAAAAAAAAAATACACACATTTGAATCAGAAGTCTTCTGTGTATGAGCACTGAGGGAAAAACAGGAGTTTTTGTTTTGGAGGTACAGTTCTGTGGGCAACTCACAGCTGAAAAGGGCTGGGAGTCACCTGAACAGAGGTAACAATTAAAGCCACCAGAAGATGCATCCATTTTCTGCTTAATTTGCAGTTCGAAAGTTCTGATTTTGTAATTTAACATACTTTGAAAGAAGATGGGTCATAAGAAAAAAAAATCAGTATCTTGTGTTTCTAGTTTTGGACGAGAGACGTAAAGATACATAAGATAATCTCATGAGTTTGTGAAAAACACTTTTGACAGCCACTGGCCCAGGAGATACAGGGGCCATGAGTGAGCAGAGTGATAGTACACTTAAAAATATTTCATTTCATTAGAATTGTGTATATTCTAAGCAGAATAGTACAGTTTTTCATCATGGAGAAAGAAAAAACTCCTTAGGCCAGAAAGCTATATAGGAAGAAGATAGAAGCTGTTCTTTTTTCCTTTTTCAGACAACTTTGTAATGACTGAGAAACAACAGATTTAAAGATTATGTCTTTGACTAAGAGTTGAACTGCACAGGCTGGGAAGACCTGTGTAAAACTGACCCAACGTCTGGAAGGATCAGACAGAGAAAATTTAGGGTAAGCTATAAAAGGTTACTCTAATCAGTAACCAAGAACACGATTTCAGAGGTTAAGAAAAAGTTGAATATCATGAATGAAGACACTTGATTTTTAACTTAGAGCGTTTTTAATATCATTGTTGCAAGGGTTCCCCAAACTTGTCACCTCAAGTCCTCTCAGGCATTCTGATATCAGAGCCCAACACAGTTTTTGTAGGTATCCCCGAAGGGCTTATATTTTGTTATTCTACTCTGTAATATATCTATCTATAAATGTTTTAAATTACTTATGAATAAACATATCATACAAGAAAAACACAGGGTACACACAGCCCAGTTTAAGAAGCATAGTTAGGATCATAACTAGAAATAACATTTTTTTAAAACTGTTTGTATTTAGAATCTACTACCACCAAAAGGGACTATTCTAGTTTAAATTTTTCATTTAAACACACCAAGGCCTAGAGAAGTTAGGGGCACAAAGTCACAGAACAAGTAAACCAAGGTGTGCCCAGGATACAAATCCAGAACCTTTACTAAGTTCTGACCTCGCATTCCTACATATCAGCTGGGGGCGCTGCACAGTGTGAGTGGTAGGGAGGATGACAATGTGGGCAAAGCAAGGATGCGCCCTCCAGTGGACTCCTACCTTTGTAACTTACTGTGCAACCCTGGTTTCAGTTTGCTCTTGAGAGGCACAGGCCAGCATGAATGCTGCCTGGAGTGGGACAGCCCAAGAATATACAAGACAATTTATTTAAGATATCCAGGGCAATATCTATTGATACCTATAGTTCTGTATCTCTGAAGAACCCTAATACAATCTGACTTTTTTTGCTCAACACACTGTCTAACGCACTTCTTAAAACAACCCAAGAACCTCCCATTACTTGGAGCAAAAGTGAAACTTCTTGGTGGGTTGTAAGACCCTCTGTGGAGGCTCTTTGTAATTGAATCTAGTATCCTCTTTCCTGTCACCTCCAAAAATCGGTTCCAGCCATACCAGGCTCCATCCACCCTCTTATATGATTGCCAGTCCCTTTGCTTGGAGCTAATGTTTTTTTGTTTTTGTTACTTCTTAGGCTCATCTAACTCATTGTCTGGAATTTGGGCTCAATTACTACTCTTTAGAGAAGATCTCTTTATTCTTTGGCTAAACCAAATTTGTATTTTACCTTTTATTTAACAGACACTTAAGTGCCAGCCACTGTTCTAAATGTTTTACAAAAATTGATTTATTTAATCCCCATAACAATTACAGGGTATCCCCTGATGGGTTACAGAATATGTCACCCCAAAATATGTCACTGTAGCATAAAGATTACTTTGAGCTGAAGGCACTTGAAAAACTGCAGGTGTAAAAAGGGTATTCTAATCTTTCCTTTTCTTCCTGAATATAGGAGATAAAAACACCCAGGTGAAAAATATCTTTCTATGCCAGGAGAAAGGAAACATTCATCACTGAGTTGTCACAGCTGTATAGACATTCAAAAAATAATTCTTATTGGGACCAGCAGGTAGCACAAAGGTTAAGGTGGCTGGATCCCACATGGCTGACGGCATGATTCAAGGCCGAGACCCAACAGTTTGAGAAAGAAGCTGGGTGCATGTGTGTGTGTGCTCAAAATCCCTAGAGGAGGATGGAAGAGAAGAGACTGCGGTGTGGCCATCCATCCTGGAGGGTGATTTCTTTCTATCTCTGTCTCTTTCTGGAGAGTGCACATATCCTACAATAAAAAACTTACAAAAAATTCTCAGGGTCAGCAGATGGAGCAATGGTTTCATCGCTGGACTTCCACATGGTCAACTGCAGTTTGAGTCCTAGACCCAGTGGCATGAAACTCTTGCTGGGTGTGTGTGTGTATGCGTGCCCAAAATCCTGAGAGCAGAATGAAGGAGAAGAGATTATGGCATGGGCGTGGCCCTCCCCCTGAGGGGTGTTTTCTCACTTTCTGTCTCTTTGATGAGTACACAGGACCTATGGCAAAATCTCCCTAAGGAAAAAAATATT